TCATAGCAGGAGCATAAAAGACCCAGGAGAAAAAAATAAAATAATGAACAGCTACATACCAGAGACATTTTGTGGGGGTGGAGTGGGGAATGGGAGTAAAAACAGTGGGGAGGGAAATGCACTGGACTATGGTGATGGCACACGGGGGACTCGGTGATGGGAAACCCGCGGGGATTACAACTGAGATGGGAAAAGGCACAAAATGATGTAAAAATTAACTATGATGTTATTTCTTTTAAATTTAAGATTAGGCCCTCCCTGGTGGCGCAGCGGGTTAAAGCGCAGCACTGCGAAGCCAGCGGCAGCTTGGGTGCAAGTTTGATTCCCACCCTGGAGGTGACCACATGGCGCAGACCTCTCCTGACCCGCCCGCTGCTCCCCTCAGCAGTGGACTTCGTCGATCTGCCTGTTCTGCTCCCCACTCTGTCTCTGGTGAATCCTCTCACTGCCCCTGCATCTCTGGCTTGTACCCCAGTTCTGTATGCACAAATAAATAAATCCTTTTAAAAAATTTTAAGATTATTGGCTGCAATATTTTATTAAATATCTGTATTATAGGATCTTGCTAATGAAGTTCTAATATATATCATTTCTATTTCTTCACCAGTAAACTGAGATCTGTCAGCCTTTATAGTGTCATTTTATATTTCCTCTTACTCCAAAATTAAAAAAAAAACAAACCTCTTTTATTTTCATCATCACATGTGGCCTTCCTTTCTGAACTTGCTCTTACGTCTAGTGTATTTTGTCTGAGCAACAACTGATTATGATGCATGACTGTCTGTTGTCAGGCTCGGCTCGGGGCCTTCTTCATGCTGTGACTCCCCCATCTCCCCACAGCTGAGAGGTTCCAGTGTGAACCCCCTTGGGGTTCTCATCTTCTGTCCTGAGGCCTGGCCTCCCCTGGGGCTCCATGGTGACACAGGCTGTTAAAAGACAGGACAGGGAGACACAGAGGGAGCAGAGGGACAGGCCCGGCACTTCCTGCCTGCCAGGAGCCCCAGTCACCCTGATCCCCACATGCCCCACCCAGGAGCCCCAACACCGACTGCAGCAGCCCCTCCCGATTTGGGGGACCCGTCACATGATCTTCTCACTTGGCCAGTGTCTCTCACCGATCAGATCCATAGGGCAGGGGTGCTCTGTTCATGGGGGTTCCTGGGATCCAGAAGGGGCCTGATGTGGGGAGAGGGTCCTGCCCTGTGGGCTGAGGGCCTGTGGCCCCCCACTCCTGGCCTCCTTCTTGCCCTGAAGCAGCCCTGAGCTTTCTGTGTCCTCAGTGGGCCATTAATGGGTGGACCAAGCCTCTATTAACAAAAAACTAAAGTTCAGCAAAGGTAACTTCCTGAACGTGTGAGTCATCACAGAAAAATAATTTGGTTGAGCCCTGAGGCTGTTTGATGGGCCAGGCCTGAGGCCACCCCAGGGGGACCAGGGCCATTTTCTTGTTTCTTGGATGACCCAGGCCTCAGGGAGTTTCCCTGAGCAGGTAGAGAGGCAACCTGGGGTCCTGGGCTCTGGGTGAACATGATGTTCAGTCCTGGGTGCTGAGCTCTGGGTGCCCAGGACAGAAGGGTGAGGGTCCCTTAGATGAGTCTTTGTGAAGCACCCGCTGCCCCTGATGGCGCCAGGGCCTCTGGGGCCCACCGCTGGGAGCTTTTTCCAGAGTAGCC